GACAAAAAGTTGAGAGGGGGACAGAATAATGATTCACAGATGTGACACAGACAAAAGAGCAGAGAAAAGGTAAGAGGAGTACTGTGAATGGGCTGAATATGGCATACAGTGGGAGTAGTTTGAAGTCAGAAGTCATCTGGCGGTTAATAGACTTTTTTGCCGTATGAGTATACGTTGCCCAGGGTGCACCACGTGGAGGTAAGTCTATCCCACACCCCCCCCCATATTGATATTGGTATATACATATTGATTAGCACCCAATGCTTATAAGATATAAATTTCAATTTGAGTTTGAACTATGCAAAAGGATAGAGTGTTTTGTGACTTAATGACAGTCTCATACGGCTAAAATTAATACCGCTTATGCTGATTAAGGTATCTAATTTAATTCAATTTCTAACTTTTCACTAGAAATAATTTGTATACTTTTAATTTAATTTTACAAACTTATTAAATATAATTAACTTGATGAAAAAAGGTTTCAGAATTTTTTAGAATATGAGTAAGGGAAGACGATTACGGTATAAAACGTACGATTAATTTGTGCATGTCAAATCGTATAACAAAAGACATTTCCTATGGAACGGTATTATTTAATGTGCTTTCTAAATCTCCTCTAATATAGTAAAGCGAAATATATATTTCTATGTGGGACGCTAACGGAAAACTGAACTTATATTAAATTTTGAACATAGGACTTGATAATGAGCGAATAGAATCTATGGATTAAGTCGCACGTCGTTGCTGATATTTAAAATGAAACAAAATATGTTAATTTCCATTATTATAAATATTTGAAAAAAGCATCAATCTGAGCAAAAATTTAAATTATCATATGAATATTTGAAATAACAAATGAATAACAATCTAAAATGGCGTGCCAAAGTTAATTTATCTTATGTAATATTAGCAGAAAAGCGAAAACATAATTATGAATTTTATATAATCTCTCTTCAATTCAATGGAGATTATGTCATTATATAAAGTAAGTGCTGATACTTTTGTTGATAGTTAGTTGGCCTTGACGTAAAAATAATTAATCCGAGTGTAAATAGATAACATGTCAGAAAATTATCCCGAGGTTGATGGGGATGATTCTGATCTCAAAGAGTGTTTACTAGAAACCCTCAGATCTGATGGAACTCTTAAAAAAATTCAAGTAACATTCACCTTTTTTGTCAGTAGTCGTTTTAGGATCAGCTTAGTGCAGCGGTGTATGCGGCATTTTATCGAAAATCGCCACAAACGCCAGCTCAGAATGAATCGAAATTAGCCTTTCTGACTTCAAAGCAAAATGGTAAACTATTTTATTATGCCATTACACCTAAAAAGGCCTTGATGCTTTATCATTACTTGTGGACTTCCTACAAACTCTGGAATTAAAGAAGACACTTAATGTGTTCATGCACGAAACTGGTCTAGTATGATTTGTTTTATTAGTTTAATTTATTTTCCTAGGATGAATTAAAACTTGAACGAAGGGAAGACCTAATTCACCAGTATAATGTGGAATCTATCACCGAGAGCGTACCTATCCTCCCTATATTGCTAGATTCAGTTGCAAATCAGTCAGTTGATCCTTCAAAGCTTCACAAAGGTTAAATATAATTCTCACATCAGAATATTTTATTGATTAACCCGTTTGCCTCCTTTTTATTCTTTTCATTTTTTATTTTAGCCGTTCTAGACAAAGAATCAGATAAGTATGTTGCACATGCATTCCAATTTATTTTTTTACTTATTTATTACTAATTCTTCCGTATTCAGTGAGAATTTCAATCCCGATAGTGGAAGAATTCCGCAAATTCTCAATATAAATAACTCACATTTCCCTGACGGCTTGTCTAATGATGTGCACAACCGAAACCAATCGCCTCCACAAACTTCAATTGCTTCTCCAACCAGATCTGGGCCATATGAAAGCGGTCGGTCGTTAAATGATAGGTATGTTATTTTCCTTTATTTCTTACCTACAACGGATATCCTTTAGATCTAAGATTCAGGCTTTTTCTTATTCCTTGCTCTGAATTTTAAGTAAATGATTTTGAATTTAGTGGATCGAGTTTCTTAATTTTACTGTGCGCTATGAGTGATAGTTTAAGTACCCACTATCTCTATATGTACTGATATAGTAATAGTGCTTCCTGCTACTTATTGGATTGTGCTAGTATTAATTCGCTTAAACCTCCTAGGGCCATTTGAAAACTCGACGTTGATCCCTCCAGTTCAAAACCAAAGGTAAGGTTGCTTGAGCCTCTCTTACAAGCGAGGCCAGGAGCTAATATCTGGACTGAAAGGAGGGGGGTGGGGGTATTTGGTATTTTGTTCAGTCCAGTTCACAATTAGAAAATGATAAACGAATGTGTACTTTATAAGGCTTGGGATTTTTGAACCTACCGCAAATGAGCTCAAATAAGTCATTGCAAATCTTCAGTCTCTAACTGGTTTGTACACTTTTAGCGTGGTCCTTTCGGTGGGCATGATTTAAATATAAAATGATCCGTCAGTGTTTCAACTTGCCAAATTTGGAAAATGGAGGTGTTCCTGAATACGTCATAGACAAAGATTTAGGTCAGCCATTGTGTCCAACATTAATAACCAGTTAATATTCACAGAGTAAAGAAGTTTATGCCGTTTAAAGTGATCATTGCCAACCTGCCCATAAGGGAAGAATGGGTATTTATTGAAAATCACGTCATTTTAATCTTTTATCGTTTTCTGTTGTATCATTTTTGCCAGCTTGTGGTGACTTTACTTATTTTAGACATTTATTTATTTATATCAAATGGCAGGCGTTTTGATGGCTATCATTAGCCCTTTAGGCTTCACAAGGGGAAAGGAACATCAAAGTGAAAAAAAGTCGAGGGGTGTGGGGAATAGAAGAATTTCAAAGACGAAGTTAGAAAAGGTAGGAAAAAGGTTAGGTAAGTACAGTGAGGTGGTGGAATATGACATACAGTGGGGTGATGGTAGTTTGAAGTCAGAAGTCGACTGCCAGTTTATAGACTTTTTGCCGTATGAGAATACGTTGCCCAGGGTGCACCACGTGGAGGTAAGTCTATCGCACACCCTATTTTAGACATTATTGGCTCTTATGGAAAAACATGAGTCATTATTTAACTCTAAATTTTTTAGACATCTGGAACTCTAATGCGCTCCTGCATTACACCAAGACTAACTTTATGACACTACTTATAAATTTCATTAGTTAAGACAATTGCAGTGACTCCCTAATCTCTCCATTGCCCCCCCCTTGCCTGTGCGAGAGCTGCTTCACTATCAGGTCTAATATGTTAATGGGCCTCTTTGTCAGTTTTAACGGTTAAGACAAAGGATAAAAGTCAAAAGAAAAGGCGTATATCAAATGGAGTGAATTTGGAAAATATTCTTAATGTTGCTTTTCACTTGGAGTATCTCAGTTCCTTACTGCATTTGTAATACTTTTAGCATTAATTGCCATTCTTAAATTTACCATTTTCCTTTTCTAGGGATTCCTACTCTGAACAGAGGCAGTC